ACTGCTTGGCAGCGTCTACATCCATTTGGAGGGCACTGGCATTGGAACTCCGGGATTTCAATTCGTCTGCAAAAAGTAAACACGGACTCGCAAGAATGTCTGGGAGGTGGTTGATGTAGACCAGAATCAGGAGTGGTCCCAAGACGGAGCCTTGAGGAACTCCAACGAAGAATAAACTTTATTATTATTATTACTATTATTATAACCAGGTGAAAATGCAAAGCCAACCGACGCATCGATGATGATGGTCCGGACCCTCGTCGTGGAATCTGGTGGTCCAAGTCTCTCACGCATTAACACATTGCCTACAAAGGTACCGGCGACAATGGGGTCGATCGGCGAGCAAAACCAGGCAACATATTCCATGCAACCACGGCCGAATGCTGGAGGTGATCGTGCTTGCGCCAGTAGGGTCGCCTGAGCATAATATCAATGATAACCACATGAAAAACGTGACATTTGCGCGGTTAAAAGACAAACTAAAAATGCAGGGATGATAAAATTTTAGTAAACATTTATATAAAAAGCAAGCAGTCGGCTTGTTGCTGCAAACCTTACCGAGCAGGTAGGCTGGTAGGTTAGGTCTTCCATAACAACGTACGAACGCGTGCTGCTGTTGTGTCCTATGGTCTAAAGAGGACGGTGAAATGTGCCCACGGCTACAACACAATAGTAGCAGTCAAGGAGCAGGAAATCACTAAATGAGCTCCCCACATTCTTGTTGCTGCCTCGATTGACGGGTTAATTCCTCATTCGACGTTTACCGCGGCGGCCGCGGGATTGCCCCATGAAACACCATGGAAAACCTTTTGGTTGGGCGGCAAATTCATAGATGCTTGGCCAATTACAGTTGAAGTGAGAGTGAACATCTCCACCTGTGCTTCAACCACCTGTGCTAAGAAATTCAGCTCTATTAATTGCGGTGAGCACTGGGCCATATGCATTGGCCTAGCCTCCTTCCCACAAGCAATTTCACTCCTTACTTTCCTCAAAGTGGGACACTAGTAAGTTAAAGCAGTTTCACTGCATGTCACACATATGAGACGTGACTTGCCATTTATCTTCGCTGAGAATTTCCTCAATTCGTCATCTTTCTTTAGGCTTTTCATCACCATGGCCGATAACTAATTCGTTCAAGGTCACTTATGGATAGAAACCAACGGAGCCTCACCAACACACCATTCCACCGAACCAAGACGAAGGCTCGATAAACCAAAGGGGCTTATGTTCGCCAAGTTCTTGAATAAAAGCTAACCCACGAGTCCAAAATTTGCCATTCCACAAGCTACAAGCAGCAGAGAGTTTTTTGAGTGCCTGTCCAAAACCTGTCTCAGACTTTCCAGCAAATTTAGCGATATTCAACTGTCGGTGTGCCTAGAACAAAAACCACAGCGACCTGGCCTCCACTAAACGACACTTGTGTGGAAATCCCAATTTACGGTTACTTCGTCCTCTGGGCTGAATCGAAAGACATTGGCGAATAATGTTGATTTTAAGTACGTGCAGCCATGCCCACTACGATTGTCCACGCCGATACGGTCCTGTACCATTTTTGATGTACCGTTGGGCGCATTAGTCATCATCTTACAGGTTAGTAGATGCCTGCAGACGGCTACGGTCACATTTATCTCCGTTACTGGGTTCCCCGTATTCTAATCAAGATCCTTCGATGGTCCATTTATCTGCCAACAGGAACTTTAGTAGTGAAAGTGTAGACGTCCCACTAAGAGTTTTGCCATCACGAGCTAGACAGACTTCCTTAATTACACTTCCTCCGACTATTACACTAGAGTGTATACTAATCTTATTACCCCGGTTTATACTCCGGTGCAGCGCGGACTACGAGCATGACGACACAACTCTCTAAAGGATCGTGCCCTTTCACCTAAAGATTCTGTCTTGCTCAAACTGGTTATATTTTCTCACCATTATGCCCCACCGCTAGCGCAATAAGCTAACTTGGTGCCCCTCTTCTTACGCTGCGCGCCGAAGGCACCCTGACTTGTCAGGTATCGAAAGAGTATTGAATACTGGGCTAGTCACTCCAACCGTCCCCCATCTAACAGTCTGTCTGATTTGGATGCTCATATATTTTAGTCCTCTAACCCAGGTCTACTTTTTACCTCGGGAGGTCGGATTCCCTCCTATCAATTCAAAATTTCTTGTGGGAAACTTAGATTCAGGGAGCTAATGAAACATTTTTCCACAGTAGGGGATATAGTTTCATGATATTTTTGTCCTTCCAGCTTCGCAGCCATGTCTAACAGCGGGTGGTCATCGCCCACAATAGCTGTATTTTATCCTCCATTCACTTCCAGCCGAAAACCCGTTGATCTGAACTAATAAGACATGTTATTGGCGTGAATTTGCAAGTCAGTCCCGAATCCACAACGCAGCCCACGCGAAAATAATGCCCCAACCACAAGTAGTTGACATGCATCCACAAGCCTTCAAGCCTAGCTTCTAACTTTCGGGGCAGCTTAATTTCCCGAGCCAAATGCCCGGTCCTGTACAAAACCTGGAACTCCGCATCTTCAGGTACAATTTAATCAAAATAATCGATCAACACTAAGTGTGGGGAGGAAACACCTTTTCCAAGATTTCGTCTATTAGTAAACAACGAATAAGCAGTTACAAACTACTGGACAGGAAAGTAAACAACTCTTGCGAATATGCATGTCTAAAACTAAATATCCTCACGCGTGTTCTTAAACTTTCATGGATATCCGTTAACTAGCACGCTATTGCAACGAACGCTGAAAACCAGCTTCACGACTTCCGAAAAAAAACTTACCTCTTATTTGATGCAACATATCCGACAAAAGTCGGCCAATCAAAAGGGCTGGTATTTGCGGGTGGACGCATACGACGACAGTGATTCTTCCAATGGCCGACGTGCCTCCACGATTCTGCCCGGATTTCTGCATGATGTTGAGCTAATTGTCTCACTGTGGTTTTCGGGTCCTCCACCGGCAATTCATCCCCCTCTGTGACTGCAACATGGTCAGCGGCGCCTTGGCCAACCGCCATGCCAGATGAACCAGCTCCTCTACACTCAAACGGCCAGTTGCTCTCGCCCACCGCTAATGGGCACTCAGCGCAATCTGATACCCCCCCCCGACTGATCAGACGGCGGCAGTCGGCAGCAACACTCCGCTTAACGCCGGCAAAGCACGATCCAACGGCTGATATCAGCTGGTGCAAAACACCGTCGCGTAAAATCTATCTTGGCCGCCTTGAACCACCCCTTGGCCTCGTGGTGGTCGACCGGTATGTCGAACCCTATTTCGAGAGGTTCCTTCGAAACAGCCCTGCTCGTCCTTCTAGGACCCCTGCTGGGTGAATTCAACGCCACCTGTGCCCGGCCTCTGAAGGGATACGTCAATGCCGCCACCTTACTCCGGTCCGTCTCCAGATCTGATAGCATGCACGAGGGACGAAAACCTCGTGTGGCGGGTGGGTGCGCCCTGCAGGAAGGGTCACCCTGTCACGTCGCACCATGGTGCTACTCCTCCAGTACCTTGGGTGCATCACCCACCGCCAATGATTCTGAATCTGGTCTTCAAATTCGGGAAATTCGGGAAAGCACAGCTGCCTTCCGGTTGTTGCTGCTGGTGTTGGCCTCGCCTCGATTGAGTTATTTGGCAACGCCATAAACAACAATAACAACAAAAACTGGCCTTTTGCCGGAAGAAACTCTGCGATGCCCGTGGCCTACGTCGACGTGCATAGCTGTAGCTGCCTTTGTCAATATCGAGGCTACACCGCACAAAAACCCACTCCATCAACCAAACAAAGCACGCTAATCTGCTGCTCCCATGAGTGGACACATACAACACATATAAACATACAGTGAGACTCCGGACTCTCCACCATCCCCTTGCGAGTCTAGCATCGGAAGTCTTCCCCGTCATGCACCACTCATCGATTAAAGCTGATAGTGGTGCTTCGGGAACTGGCGACTATCTTCCTTGCACACCCCTCCCCTCTTAGATTGTCTAAGTATCGTCCAACTTACTAACAACCTTCAGGAAATCTAGTCCACCATCTCAGAATTTACACCTCCGCCAGTCGTCACGTGCTTGGTTACCCTCACCACGCCGACTCTTAGCCTACATGCAGTGAACTGCCCTGTCTCAGGTAGTGTAGCTGTATTGGCATTCTTAGCTTGACCTCGATCACTAACTACTGGGTGCAAATCCATCCTCACCCTGTCATGTTTAACCACCTGGAGTCACCGCCATAACTGTGGTAAACGTTCAATTTTTCCCCTATTAAAAGACTATATCCTATGTGATGACCCCTTTAAAATTCCACGCCTTATTGATCTCATCTCATTTAGTCTAATTACCAAGATTCGATCCGTGGTTTCACGCGCTATGGACGACCTGTTTGGCCGTTGTCCACGCCACCTGACCTGTGCATTACGAATGAACGGATCCCCAACCTGAAAGAGAAAAAGACAAATACCACGCGCGACATTACATTGATTTTACTCACCCCGAGAAATCCACCGGCAAACGCACAACATCCCACTGATCGCAGGGCTGCGCATCTCAGCACAACTATCTCAATCACGACGTCCGTCGCGGGGCTGTCCACAAACTGACACGCGGTACGTTCAAAATTGGTTTCGTTTTTCCCTCAAGCAAATTTTTTCAAGGATTTTTCCGCTTTTCAATCTATTCACGTCATACACACGAGTCTTTGTTGAATATTATTACTCTAAAATAACTTTTAAGAGATAACCTCAGTTATTTTGCACTAACCATCTAGTTTGCATCCAGTATTAACCATGACATTGATTTATACCGAGTGCCCTCTGCAGCCATCGATAGACCACAAAAGATGTGGGCGAAATGGCTGCCCGTCGAACTTGAATTGCGGCATGCAGTGTCACACCTACGATGCTCGGGGGACGACCAGATAAGCCGATTAGCTAACTATCCTGACCCGTTTGTCTGCGCCAGCTGCCTCTATATTAAGGGTGCAATGCATACCGCAGTCTAGAAGAAACCCCCCAACGATGGTACTCAATCCCCATTGCAGAAACAAAAAGACTGACTTGAGTGTTTCGGTCTGATCGGGATATTCGACGCAAAATTAGAGCTTCTTTTTATGACACTGGAGGATTCAAACGCGAAGAATGCGGCAACATGCACGAAAGTTGATAAAGAAATTTCTTCGCTGAATGAGTGCCTCACGCTATCCATACCGGGACCTCTGGCTGAGAAGAAAACAGGCGCCTAAGAGAGGGCAGACTGATCATCTAGGGTCAATCTCCGGAAACATCACGCCAGCGAGACAGGCACAGCCCCACTAAGCCTGATCGCCAACCGCTTTACGCAGAATGGTTACACCGGAATTGAAGCAAGCGAACACTGGGGCTCCTAGTCACTTTTCCCTCCCCACCCGCCGTACAAAAGATCTTGGAGTGGGCTGGCAGCGTTCAAAAGGCCTACTCAATGATCAGGCGTCTAAATGAGGATCGCCCTCTGGAGGCGCAAAAGCTGGGTCACAGCAGATCAGGGGTAGAGGCACAAAACAGGTTTCTGCTTTGCGCCAGTTCAGCCGACCCTAAATTCCTGGCCAATGCGATTGTGGTCATAGCTCCTTGTGTCCTGAAAAGCATACCAGCGCAACCGGCCGTGTCTCCGGACAGCAGTCTTTATTCGATCACTAAAGGCAGTGATGCCCCGGGGGAGGCAAACCTCATATGCGAGCAGCGTCCAAAGTACTTGGAGCTATCATCGCGTATCTCTGTAACAGACGACGCAGGTGCAACCATGAATTCCTCACCAAAGCCACAGCCTCCGAACCGGACCGAGTCAGATGTGCGGGGACAGGCAGCAAAGCCGATCTCCAGGTCCACTCCGTCAAAGGCGGCCTCTCCGCTTATGGACTCAACCGTCGCTTAGGACCCTGACAGCCAAAGCCATAAACGTGACTACGGCCAACAAAAACAACCCTCGTACATCCAGTAGGCACGCTGATCGCCGGCGGATCGGGTGTCCACGCAAGCCCGGAAGAAAAGCGACTGCAGACAAACAAGATAGATTAGAGACTGCTGGCTGGCTTCAAGGTGCAGTCCTCCGCAAAAACGAGCCTTATGAGAACGCAACCAAGATCGTTTTTTCTTGGTGTCACCACCCAGCGCTTGGAGCCTCACAAAGACGCTGTTCAGGTCAAACCGCGCCAAAACACCTTGGAAACCAACGGGACAAAAATTTGCCCTAAGTCTTTGATCAACAGCAAATCTGGTCGCTATAAAGACAATCCTGAAACAGCTGCAAACAGCAATGGTCGAAATTTTCGCCCACGGTGANNNAATTCCCTCCGTCAAAGTTAAAAGGCCCGAGCAAACCTGGATCTCACGGGCAAAAAAACCTGCAGGCGAAAAGCATCCCCAGAAACCACGAAGGCAGGAAACAGACGATATTACATGCTGACTGCTGAAACAGTTGGGCTATATTTGTGTTTATGTAAACTGTTGAACGTCACAAAAGCTCTTTGTGTCATCTTCTAGCTGTGAATAACTTTTCTACCGTGGAAAATGCTACTTACACGTGATTAATTTGTGGCAAATTTCTACAAGTGGATATCTCCTTCATAGCCCGTTACTGCACTGGAGTCGGTGTACTGGACTATTCCGTCAAGAAGAGACCGGACCTTGCCGTGGTCTGGCGGTTTGTGTGCCTTGGCAACCCACTGAGCTATACCGGGGTGCCCGGGCGACACTCACAGAGTCTCTCATACATGGTTAGTCCATGGTTAGATGTCTGACATATACAGTCTCCTGGCCCTATGTGTTGGGGGTTGGAACGTGTATGGTGACGTGTTCCGTAAAAACGGTAAGTTACTTGCATTTCCAGCCAAACACTGCTGCGTTCCGGTTAGGCTTTAGACCTGTAGCTACCCATTCGCTACATACATGACTAGCTACCCATTACATACATGACTGTACAGGTCACCGCCACACGTTAGATCAAGAGATCTATCTTTTTCCCTTGCACTCACAAATCAAGCCAGCCAC